CCATTGCTATACCTCCTGAGTCTAAAATGTATTATGAAGGGGGCTTTCACTGCTCTTATTACAGCTGAATAGGCTCGTCTTGTTGAGCCTAGGAGATCCAATCTACAGCCCTCATCGGTACCTGCATAGTGAAAGTTATGTAGAGGTAGTGCGTAGTCTGCCGGCAGAACTCAGTTTTTCATGTGGTGCTGTTGCCCACTGCTGTTATTACAATTCTCGGTGCCTGTCTTCAAAACACCCCTCTGTGGGCGGTCCTAGTTGCACGGTGAATTTATACTTTGACCGACCTTTGATAGCTCGACCATCGATTTCGATGCTGTCCACCATATGCTCAAACAACAGGGATGGTGACTGTAGTCAGATGTAGTGAAAGTAGACGCGCAGCCATCTACCACACTCTAAACCCTCTTCCTGCTTGAATCGGTGATAAGACAGAGTCGAGATGACCGAGCGGGAATCCGGCATAAGCCGCTTTCTCTAGTGCAGACCAGAAACACCGCCTAAGTTAGTTTTAAATGACAGTAGTCTTCTGCGCTGGTACTAATGCATTACCTACCCTCACGCACCGTCAGCAGGTGTCCAGAAAGACTCAAGGAAATCGAGTCTGATATTACTACTACTACTATTTAGGTTATTGCTTACTAGCAGTGTCGCCGAGTGATAGTAATGATAGTACCATTACTGACGCTAATAATTGGTCAGAAATGACGCTGATTAAAGTCATCGCTGGGCTCGTATTCCCTCGATCTCAACTGGTAGTAGGGAGCCGGATTTATGTTATTCCGAGGAAATTGGTGTTTGAGGCTCTGAACATATCAATGCTTGCCCTGGTTTCCCCCCTCCTACCTCTAATCACCAGAACTGTGTAAGTTTTTCCTAAGCTTAGACTAAGAGGGCTAGGATACTACTGCTAAAAGTAATATGCCAATGCTAGGAGTGCTAATTCTAGTAATCATACTTGCTGTAGTCAGTAAGTAGTATGATACAATGCGGCCTGTACGTGCATGTAGTAAATTGGAACCTAGTATGCAGTCGTAACTGAATGGTCAAATTAACGTGTAGTTAATAGTAGCTGGGAATCTACCATTTATTTAGTTCATAGGCAGGCAAGTAGCCCTTGTTGGATCCGGAACCCCGTCGGGTGGGCCTCAA